GCCGCCAGCCTAGCATTTCTTATAGCGCAGGTCTGTTGGTACTCTTTCAGGTTCTGTATGTCTAAAAAAGTCTTTTTTTTTTTGCATTAATTTTTGAATGAATTGTAGGTATATAGTTTTTTTCTTTCAGTACTTTAAAGATGTTGCTCCACTGTCTTCTAATTTGTATTGTTTCAGAAGAGAAATTTACGTCGTTTTCATTTTTGTATCTTTGTAATGTACTCCACCTACCCCTGGCTGTTTTAAAATTCTTCTCCTTATCACTGGTTTTAAGCAATTGATTATGATGTCTTTTGGTGCAATTTTTTTCTTATGTATTTTCCTTGAGGTTTATTGACCTTCTTGGATCTGTAAATTTGTTTCATTTGGAAAAAAAATTTGGCCATCATTTCTTTAGATCTTTTTTTTTTTCCTTCCCCCTCTTCCATCTCTTCTCCTTCAGGGCCTCCAATTACAAATATATTGTGCGGCCTGAAGCTATCCCACGTCACTGATGCTCAGTTCATTTTCCAGTTTTTGGGTGTGTTTATGGTTTTTTTTCTCCTTCTGAGCCTTCCCTCCCACCCCCTGTGTGTGCATGTTTTGTTTTCAGGTAATTTCTATTGTTGTGACTCAAGTTCATTGGTCTTGTATAGTGTTTTATCTGCTGTTCATCTCATCCAGTGTATTTTTCATCTCTAGATTGATTTAAGTCTTTTATATATGTGTTCTATGGCTCTCCTTAACATGCTTATGTTTTTCTGTGCCTTCTTGAACATACGGAGTATAGCTATCATAACTTAATGTTCTTGTCTACTAGTTCTGTTGTGTTATTTCTGAATGTGTTTTTATTGGTTAGTTTCGCTTCCTGGTTAAATGTTGCGGTTTTCTGCTTTTTGCACGCCTGGTAGTTTTTGATCACTAGACTTATGATTTCTAGTGAATCACTAGTGCATATTATATTGCTGGGTGCTGGATAGTCATGTACTTTAAAAAATATTCTTGAGCTTTGTTCTGGGGCACAGTGAAGTTACTTGGAATCAGTTTGATCCTTGGAAGGCTTGCTTTTGGATCAGCAAATTTTGCCCTGTTATTCAATACCCTTCTGACTGCTTAATTCTGTAATCTGGGTGTTAAGGAGGTTTTCTCACTGTGGCTGGTCAGAACATGAACTATACCTGGCCCTGTGGGGCTTTTTTTTTTTAACCTTTTTTTTTTAACCTTTTCTTCTTGGGTAGTCCCTTTCCCAGTCTTGGGTAGTTTTCTCACACTGGTACTCAAAGGGGAATCTGCAGATTTCTGGAGTTCTCTATCTGTGCAGCTCTTTTCCCTTCCATACTCAGCCTTGAAGAACTGTAGTCACTCAATGTTCCCTAAACTCCCAACCTGTCTTCTCAACTCCTGTGTCTGCTGGGCGCCACTTAGCTTCCTCCTCCCTGCTCTGTGGCCTGAAAACTTAGGCAGAAGGCTGCAGCAATTGTAGGGCTCATCTCATTGGTTCCCTCCTCCAGGGACCACTGCCTTCAGTTGCCTAATGTCTGATGTCTGAAAATGGTTCATGTATTTTATGTGATGTTTTTAGTTGTTTAAGGTGGGAGAGTGAATCTGGTCCCTGTTACTCCATTTTGGCTGGAAGCTCATTGATTCCTAGTGGAAATGAACATTTTTCCATATCTTCTCATTTTTACTTTGGATCCTTTGGTACTTTTACCAGATTGTACAGATCTTGTCTGAGACCCAGTCATTTTTCAGTTGGAGACCCCTTGTGAAGTAGCTATCATTTGGATTAAAAGGAGAAGGAGAATGTTACTTAAAATGATGACAAAACTATCTAAATAGAGAAGAGAGTGTGTGTGTAGGTTATCTGCTTGCCTCAAGTCCAGGCCCAGGTTGGTTTGTCTTGTACAGCGCCACCAGAGTGTTCCTCCTACAGACGCACATTTGATCATGGTACATCCCTGGGTAAAACTGGACATGGTCCCCCTCCTTAACATGGCCCTCAGGCCCTGTTTCTTCAGCCTTGTCTTTTCTCTTCACACACTGTAAGACCCAGCTGTCTTGCACTACTGGTCCTTCTTCCTTTACCATGTGTATACTCTCACACCTCATGCTTTTGCAGTGCTGTGACGCTGAGTTTGGTGCTGTTCCTTTGTTTTTCTTGCGTCTTGTGCTTACATGTTTAGCATTTAGCGGACTGTACTATAATTTATCTCTCCTTTCCTCCAGCTTTTTCCTTCTGAGCAAGGTGATTTTTGTACATAATTATATTATCAAAAACATCTTAGGATGTATATAGCTATTTTACCTATTTGAGAAATGAGAAAATGCTCAGAAAGGTTAAATAGCTTGTCTTAGGTCATATAACTAGTAAATATAAGAGCTAGTCTGTTGGGCTTTAAAGCTAGACATTAAGGCCTGCTGAGGGGTTCGAAGTGAAAGGGAGAAGTGAGGGACCTACCCTTGGCTTCTATCCCAGTGGACACCTGGTCAAGTTCATATTGTAAAGCAAGGTGATATAGAAGAGGAACAGGGTTGGGAACAACACATGTATTTCCTAAGAAATACTTGTAGCAGTATGTTGTTATGGTGAACAATTTTATCTTATGGTTGTTCTTGCAATAGTAGCTGGCAGAAATTTTTGTCAGAGACATCTTTGATGATCCTTACATATTATATCAGAAGATCTCCTACTGCTCTTTAGTAGATAACTTTTTTTTAATAAGGATGGAGAATAATAGAATAACACAGAAAAAATTTCCCAAGGCCATCTAGTAAACTGAATTTTCTGTGAGAGTTGAAACCCCAAAAGAGTCACCAAAACTGCTTTCCTATCCATTATTTTAAAAGAGAAAAAAATCTCAAGAGTAAGTTTCTATTCTCTTAGTAAATGTTCCAGGACTTAGCAGCGATAGAATCACAGATTACTTCCTTTTTGTTCACTCTTACACTGAAGTGTAAGCAGAACTGTCTTTCACTATTGCCAGTGTAATATCTCTTCCCTGTATTTGAAATGTTTTGTACTGATTCATCACTTTATTCAACCAATTAATGCACTAGCCTCTCTAGGGCCTGGTTTCCTCTTGAATTCAAGAAACAAAATTTAAGCTACTTATGGTTGATTATACCTTTGGAAAGCTTTCGTGTTAATTGTACTCAAGAAACTTAAGAGTGGGGAATAATTTATGCTTGGTGTAAGAACTGATGTGTGTTGTCCTCCTAGGGTAACCTCTTTCTAGTGTCAGCATACTGGGGAACAAGTTAATTGTCAAAAGATTGTTTTGTTGAGTATAGAATCAGGAAGGGAGAAGGTAAATTGTTGGTTTAAAAGAAAGTTTAATTTAGACCAGGTTTGATTATAAACACGTTATCCTTTCTGAAGGAACATGTCTATTCAATAATTCCAATATTTATTTAAAATGTACAAACTTGCCATTTTAGTTGAGTAAGCTCTTAAAGGGATAGACAGGACTGATACTCTTTTCCCTAGTAATGAATGTAGAATGAATGAGTCAAAGCACTTTATACCTCTGGTCTTTATAGAAATACAGCATGTCCAAATCTCACTATCCAACTGTCCTGTCTTGTATTTCATATTGGTTTTCATATTCCTACTTTCATCTTTTCTGAGCTTTGTACTGTGGTTAGATGGTTGAGTTAGTTTCTGTTGCACTCCATTTTGCTTCTGGCCAGCCTTACTGCTTATCAGTTTTATAAAGAGAATGTTCCTTCTTGTCAGTTGCTTGATTCATCTTTTATGTATGTTCTGATATTCACCCTATTATTTATTTTATATTGGACCCATAATAGCAACTGCCTATTTCTTACATATTCAATTCTTTTATCATCTTTAGACCAAAGAAAGGCATTATTTAGCGTTCTTTTTTAGGTCTAATTTCCTAAACCTTTAAGCTCATCCCTGGACCATCTGTTGAATATCTTTATCCTTAGTAAGTTGTGGAGCCCAGAACTAGAAACAGTATTTGAAAATACTATTGATTGAATGCTAAGTATTAGAAAGTATTAGAAGAGAATATGCCGCAATTCTTTGGGTGAATTAAAGTGATGTATATTACAACCTCTTAAATGCAATTGTGTGTTAGAATATTTTGTATAATTTCCCTAAGAACTGTTTTCTCTTACCATATATGAGCAAACATATGTAGATATTTATGTACATATACGTATTACGTTCATTTTCCAAAATGAATTATTCCTCCACTTATGAGCCATCCATTTTCTCTCCATTTTCTACCCCTCACCTCTTCAATAAATATACACTTCAAATCAGAATGGGCCTGCCCTGCGACTTTCAGAGCCTCAGAGGGCATGGGTTCATTCCTGCCTGGTCTTGCCCTTGTTTTACTGGCTGATCTTGAAATAAAGTTGTGGTCTTAAATCTTTGTCAATTAATTCACAAGGGAAGAACAGGGCTGCTGCTGTTCAGCTATAAGCTTTTATCTCTCTTCTAAATGTAACACTGCCATTTCTTTTCATTTAAAGTGAAAACTGTTTTTAGTTTTAAAAATTGAGCAATGTATTCTATTTAAGCATTAATTACATCAAGACATATTGGAATATGTCTTAAATCTAGTCTCCTGCTTTACCCAAAGGAACGAGAGGATGAAATTGCCACTGTGGAATGCATCAACAATGGCAAGTCCATCTTTGAGGCCCGCTTGGACATTGACACTTCCTGGCAGTGCCTGGAGTATTATGCGGGCTTGGCTGCATCCATGGCTGGTAAGTCCTCACCTGGTGTCTGTGACCAGCTGATAGTGAGGCAGAAGAGCAGGGCCTAGTGGTGAAGGGCAAAGATTTTGGAATTAAGACAGAACTGGGTGAAAGTCTTGGGTTTGTCACTTTCTACTTGGGTGGCCTGGGAATTACTTTATGTTTCCTAATCTAAACTGTAGATAGTAATTCCTACCTTCTTGGGTTAAGGATTAAATGAGATAGTGCATGTAAAGCACCTAGCATGATACCTGAGCTTTAGACCAAATTGCTGAAAAACCAGTTTTCACAAGAATCAGTTTGTCATATTTACCAGTTTTATCTATTTAGCAAGCTTTTTTTTGACAGTGTATAAAGTTTTCGACAACTGATATTGGATGGTTGGTAGGGCCTAGGAAGGTTGCAGGGAGCTCACATGCTTCCCCTGCTGTTGAGTGTTCCTCTCATTTCCATTTTGTTTCATCTAAACTATCTAATAAAGGCTCAGTAAATTCTTAGAGCGTTGTTAAATCAAATTGGATGAACATGTGTTTGAAGGATAGGCAGGATTCTCTATGTGGAGAGAATATGTGGAGCCAGTGGAAGAATGACTGGAACAAATAGAAGAATGGAGACAGGTTGAGCCTGGTGTGTTGGGAGCAGTGGGGAGGCTGTGTTGACTAGAATACAAGTCAGACTGGTACAGATGTTGGTGAAATCTTAGGGAACACAGACCTGCATCCTGTTTTACTCCTGTTTTCCCCGTAGGTGAGCATATCCAGCTCCCAGGCGGATCCTTTGGTTATACCAGAAGAGAACCACTTGGGGTATGTGTGGGAATAGGAGCATGGAACTACCCCTTTCAGATCGCCTCTTGGAAGTCGGCTCCAGCGTTAGCCTGTGGTAAGAACAAATTATCCCTCCATTTGAGAGCCATTTGTTCATTCTCTCATTTGTTCTCTCCCCATTCTCTACCCTTCACCTCTCTGTAAACACACACTTTAAATCGGAAGGGGCCTGCTCTGGGATATTCAAAGCCTCAGAGGACATGGCTGGCTCCTGCCCTGTCTTGCCCCTCAAGGAGCTTATAGTTTAGGTGGTACACAATCATGTCTAGATATTCCCAGGTTTTATTTATTTAATTTTGTATATGAAAAGGAAGAAACTTAACTTTTTCTTATTAAATTGAATTAGATTTGTGCTACTTATAAATTCTCTTCCTTTCTGGACAAGAATTTTAATGTAGGAGTTAGCACTTAGGAGTTTGACTTCATTTGCGAAGCAGAAGGTAAACTCCTTTCTTCATTTGGGTCTTAAGAGAAATAATAAGCAAGGCTTTGATAAGCTCCTTATCAAAGAGGAGCTCTGGTTGATTAACATAAAATAGTTTTCTTACAGTATTTAAGGAGACGAATCTTTGAGGAAAGAAGACTAATTATATCTTAGAAAAAAACTATAATGTTAAAAAGCATTACTATTAGGACGTTATACTGAAATACAGCTTTTGTCCTGTTGCCATTGCATGTTCTTGTTTTAGCCTGTTTCTCTTTGAGAGACAGCTGTGAAAGAGGAAAAATAGGCCCAGCATTAAATCATTAGCTTTGGGGACTTTCATCAAGTGAACCTTTCTGGTCTTCAATGTCAACTTTTATAGAATGGGGCTACTGATACCTACTTCATACTGCTGTTGAAAGTGTTAAATGAGATAATATATATGAAAAGGCCTAGAAACGCAAATATGAGACTGGGCAACTGTAGGGTTTGAGATCTGTTTAATGAGAGAAACCAAGATGAAAAGGGCAAGATTTGTTTACTTATTGATATGGTTTGGCTGTGTCCCCATCCAAATCTCAACTTGAATTGTATCTCCCAGAATTCCCATGTGTTGTGGGAGGGACCCGGGGGAGGTAATTGAATCATGGGGGCTGGTCTTTCCCATGCTATTCTCGTGATAGTGAGTAAGTCTCACGAGATCTGATGGGTTTATCAGGGGTTTCTGCTTTTGCTGCTGCTTCATTTTTCTCCTGCCACCAATGTAAGAAGTGACTTTCACCTCCCACCATAATTCTGAGGCCTCCCTAGCCATGTGGAACTATAAGTCCAGTTCAGCCTCTTTCTGTTCCCAGTTTCAGGTATGTCTTTATCAACAGCATGAAAACAAACTAATGTGGTTATTAATAACATTTTTGGTCTAGGATTTGGTTGGGGAAGAGAAAACAATTGGAATCGTTCTTGAATTGTCCTCTAGTCCTGTTTTCAGGGGATCACTGGTCTTAGAAAGTCTTTTTATGTTTGTGTCTTGGGTTTATGCAGGTAATGCCATGGTCTTTAAACCTTCTCCCTTTACACCTGTTTCTGCATTGCTACTGGCTGAAATCTACACTGAGGCTGGTGTGCCTCCTGGGCTCTTCAATGTGGTGCAGGGAGGGGCTGCCACGGGCCAGTTTCTGTGTCAGCATCACGATGTGGCCAAAGTCTCCTTCACTGGAAGTGTGCCCACTGGCATGAAGGTGAGGATGAAACCAGTATTGGTCAACACACATGGCATTTGGATATGGCAAAGTTGGTCCTACCCAGAGTACATTTTGGAGGCTTCTCTTTTGATTTTACCTAGCCTGAATTGGGAATGGGAAGGAGATTTTATTAGGCAGAGGTGTGAAGTTTCCTATAAAAGTGTGAAGGGAGAAAGGGAGTACACATGGGGTGATTTGTGTTAGGCCAGGTTGGGGTGGAAATTAACAGCTCCAGCCTAAGGAGAGGATGTGTCTGAGTGGACAGGGGCCTGGGCTGCCACTTGTATTGTTTGGTGACTTAATTTCTTGTATAGAAGGAAGGATTTCTACTCAGGCTATTTCAGATTCATTATTTTGACATGAATTTGTGTTCTGAACTCTGTCAGCCTTAAACACAGTAGCAATAACAGAATAATTTCTGGCTATGACAGTCCTGTGAATTGACAGTATTTTTTATTTTTATTGTTTTGAGACAGGGTCTCACCCTATTGCCCAGGGTGGATTATAGTGGTGTAATCACAGCTCACTACAGCCTTGAACTCCTGGGCTCAGGCAGTCCTCCTGCTTCAGCCTCCTAAGAAGCTGAGACTACAGTCATGTGCCACTGCACCTGGCTAAGTTTCTTATTTTTCTGTAGAGATAGGGTCTTGCTATGTTGCCCAGGCTGGGACAATATTTTTTAAATGAGCTCCCTCTTCCAATGTCAGTGCAACTCTGTGGATTCTCTTCAGTTTTCTAGAATAGAAATTTTAGTAGACAAAAGGCAAAGGATATTAACAAGAATAAGGCTACAGGTCACACACAGTTTAAGCTGATTTTGTAGGTTCAGGGTCTAGTTGACCTAGCATGCAATATAATTTGTGTTAAAGTTCTGAATACCTTGTTCTTGTTCTGTAAGATCATGGAGATGTCAGCTAAAGGAATCAAACCTGTTACCTTGGAACTTGGAGGCAAATCTCCACTCATCATTTTCTCAGACTGTGATATGAACAATGCTGTGAAGGGAGCGCTGATGGCCAACTTTCTCACACAAGGCCAGGTATGTACCTGTCCCTGGAAGAGGTGTAAAAGGAATCTCCACCCCCTCATCCAACAGCATGTTTTAAAGCTTTTTGTTTTGCAATACTTTCAGACTTACAGAAAAGTTACACAAATAGTACAAATAATTCCCATGTACCTTTGAACCAGATTTCTCAAATATTAACATTTTAACACATTTACTTTATCTTCTTATCTGCCTGTGCATACATAGGCATATTAAGTTTTTCTGAACCTTGAGAGTAAATTGTCGACATAAGGCCCCTAACTTCTAAATATAAAGTTCCTAAAAACAAGTGCGTTCTTTTACATAAGCATGGTACACTTAGTAAAATTAAAAAATTAACATTGGTATAGTACTGCGTTACTGAATCTATAGCCCTTACTCAATCTACAGCCCTTATTCAAATTTTGCCACTTGTTTGACTAATGTCCTCATAGCAAAATAGAACAATAATGTTTTTTGTTTTTTTTTTTTCTGGTCCACGATCCAGTCAAGGATGATGCATTGCCTTTAGTTGTCTTTAATCTCCTTTAGTTGAGAACAGTCCTTCAGTTATTCTTGTCTTTCAGGACACTGACATTTTGGGAGAACAGGCCATTCATTTTGTAGAATGTTCCTTAGTTTGGGTCTGTCTGATATTCCTGTTAGATTCATATTGTGAATTTTTGGCAAAAATACCACAAACATGATGTCATATCCTACTCAGTGGTGATTTAACTTTGATCACTTGCTTTAAGGTAAGTCTTCACTGTAAAGTTACTGTTTTTTACTTTGTGGTTAATAAGAACTTGTAGGAGGTATTTTGAGGCTATCCTGTTCCTCATCAAAGTTTCATGCAGTAAATACTTCTGTCACCACTGATGATCCTTGCTGAAAACAGTTTTTATTATGGTGGTTGCAGATGGTGATTTTCCAATTCCATCATTTCTTCTATATTTGTTCACCTTCTACTGTAAGAAAGAACTTGCCCTTTACCCCTGTTTGTTTTCCATTCATTTATTTATATCAGTATGGACCCATGGATTCTTATTTCATTCTATAGGTTATAATCCAGTACTATCATTTGTATGTATTATTTTTATTTTTATTTATTTGTTTTTTGAGACAGAGTCTAGCTCTGTTGCCCAGGCTGTAGTGCACTGACATGGTCTCGGCTCACTGCAACCTCTGCCTCCCAGGTTTAAGTGATTCTCCTGCCTCGGCCTCCTGAGTAGCTGGGATTATAGGCGCCCACCACCACGCCCAGCTAATTTTTGTATTTTTAATAGAGACGGAGTTTCATTGTGTTTGCCAGG